CCCCCGACGGCTGAAAGGTCGAGCATGTTTGGTGTGAGAGGGATTCGAACCCGCGACCCTCAGATTGCGAGTGCCTTAACCACCTGGCCATATATATATATATATGTTTATATAAACTGTAATTCAGGTAGTTTCACTTCAAGATAAATACGTATAACAAAAAGTTTGATACAAAAAGGAAATTATTCAAGTTTTATTTTGTATATATATATATATATCGTTTCTAGTTGCTTTCAATTACAGCATTACTTGTGGATAAAAAGGTCCTGAGACAACCAACAAAACACAGTGTATGTTATATATGTTTATTTTGTTTTATTGTAGCTCATGTTTGATATTAAATAAACATTACATACTTAACCAATCACATATATTTTATGTTACTAGTGACTCATCCTATGCTAACTTTGTCCAATCGCGTTTTCTATATCGAAATAATACACGTTTTTTTTTGTTTTTTTTACATTGCTTATTATGAACATTCACTGAAAGAAATTCGGGTTTGAAGTAAAAAATAAAAAAAAAGGCAAAACAGGTTTTGTTTTCATATTCATTGTAACAGATGTTAAAGGAGCTTATGGTTCATTAATGTAATCTTGATTAACTTGGTCGCCAATTCGAATCCCTGTCACTGAACATGCTAGCTCTTTCAGCTGTGGGGCGTTATAATGTAACGATAAATCACAGCAGTTGTTGGCAAGAGTAGTCCAAGAGTGGGCGATGTTGACTAGCTGCCTTCTCTCTAATCTACCACTTCAAAATTAGGAACGGCTGCTCGAGTAGTTTTGCGCGAAATTCCACAAACAAACAAAACACCTGAATCTTGTTCATAGTGAGTATGAATACTAGTCAAACTTGACTTAAGTAAAATATTTACGGGACTGTAAAATATCATTATTTTCAAGGTAAGTATAAAATTAGTTTCTAAAAAAATAGAAAAAACTTATTTCATAACAAAATAATCAATCTAACATTTACATTAAAAACAAACATGCTTTAACGTTTCGTTACACATCAGTGAAATATATTATTTTTATATAACTATACAATATCTTCAAACTTACGTGATTGAATGATAAGTCTGAAATATTCTAGGTCTTGTTTGTAAGGCATAACTTTTTCATGATCAAGTTCAATCTCCCTTAGCTAACGTATGTTTTTAAACAAAACTGATTGTTGTATAAACTTTCTTCCAAACCAAAACAGCCAATTCTGCTTGTCTGAAGCAAATTCCTGTTTTCACCTAGTCACCAAGTTTTCAGACAAACTTTCTTCCTAACCAAAATAGTCAGCCATACAAGCCTGAATCAATTTTTTTATCCTTAACTGGTTATATACAAACTTTCTTTCTGAACAAAATAGTCAGCTACACATGTCTGAGCCAAGTCTTTATACTTACCTGGTTGTATACAAACTTTCTTTCTAAACAAAATAGTCAGCCACACATGTCTGAATCAAGTCTTTATACTTACCTGGTTGTATACAAACTTTCTTTCTAAACAAAATAGTCAGCCACACATGTCTGAATCAAGTCTTTATGCTTACCTGGTTGTATACAAACTTTCTTTCTAAACAAAATAGTCAGTCCCAAATGTCTGAATCAAGTCTTTATACTTACCTGGTTGTATACAAACTTTTTTTCTAAACAAAATGTTCGCCCACAAATGTCTGAATCAAGTCTTCATCTTTACGTGGTTGTATACAAACTTTCTTCCCTGCCAAAATAGTCGGCCACACGTGTCTGAATCAAGTCTTTATTTTTACCTGGTTGTGTACAAACGTTCTTCCTAACCAAAATGATCAGCCTCAAATTTTTGAAGCAAATCTTTATTATAACCTGGTTGTATACAAGCTTTCTTCCTAACCAAAATACTCAGCCACACACGTCTGAATCAATTCTTTATCCTTACGTGGTTGTATACGACCTTTCTTTCTAACCAAAATAGTCAGTTTTATTTGCTTGAAGCAAATTGTTATTCTTACCTGAATGCAGGCAAACCTTTTTAATTGATATATGTCAAATCAACCTTATTTGTATGAAACAAATCTTTATCTAGTTGCAGGACGAAGAAAAAATAATGAACCTTACCAGGCCGTGGGACGAATTTTCTTCCTACCCGTCTGACATAGGAGGTGTGACCCAACCGTACTTGTCGTGAGTTTTTACTAGACTACGAAAGGACGCTTCTGCTAATTTTCGACTAAATTCCTTCCCGATCTTACACTTCCGAGGAATTCGTCCTTGCCCTTTTACTAAACTGGCGGAGAACTGCATGATCACAGCCTCCACGGTGTAAGCACTGGCCCATCCACGTGGGGTCAGGAGTTCCATACATATTGCCCCGCCGTCCATTACAAAACCTTTCTCTATGAGCGGGGAAATAACGCGCATAAAAGGCGGGGCGAATGGAAAAGTATCTGGAAACGTGACATTGAGAAGAACGTATGTCGTCCCTGTCTCTTGCATGTCCTTATAAAACGCAGACTCTGGATCAATCTGGAAAAGCTTAATGTTCCATTCGTACAAGTTGTCGTCCACTAACTCGGCGGAAAACGGGGGCTCTTTAACACTTTGAGATGTTTTGCAGATCTCGTGGAATTCTTTCATAAGCCTCCGCGTTCTGATGGCGTGACTATTTTTCGTTACAGTTTCGGTGAGGGCGCTGCTGCTGTCTTTACTACTACTGGAAGACGACTTAGACTTAAAGAACCCATTAGACGAATGGCTGCGATGTCCTTTTCTAGCTGCAGATGCGCCATCTGCTGGACTGACTTTGGAATCACGGCGGGAACTTCGTGGACTTGCACAATGATTCAGGAATCTTCGAGTAGATGTTGGGTGTGTAGGGGAGCCACTGTCGTGCCTAGTTCTTTCTCGGTCCTCTCCACCTCGTTCCGAAGAACGGAAAAGTTTTTTCAAAGCAGTGGCCATATTAGATTTTGCAGCTTACGTCAGCACATGCTCAATAGTAAAATTTCAGTGGTACCTGGTCGCACCGCTAGCTTTGCTTTCTTTCTCTTTCTCAAGGGGGCGTATCTGTTAACCAGAAAAAACAGTGTTTTATATTTAAAATCGATTCAAACTAACAGAAACGAGTAACTTGAAAACATTTTGTAAACGAATATTTATCTTACAAACTAAAAACTTTGTCACACCAACTATCTCAAACCGTTAAATTTGATCCATTATCTGAAAACAAAGTTGCATCAAGGAATACTTGTTGCAATTCTTTCCATTGTTCGCAAAAAACTTCAGAAGAACGATTGAAGTAGAAGTGGATTGTGATACTGACACTTCTTGGCATTAAGTACCAGATTTTTTTCTTTATATTTACTTACATAAACCTTATTGGTATATCTAGTTTCACGAGTTTGGATCGAGCCTTTTCTATTCAGGTATACTAAAGGATTAAATCTACTTCAATATAAAAGAGTTGGTGCTTATGACGCAAGAGCTGGAGTCACTAGTGTTAGCGTGCACTACGGCATTGAGTTGTTCATGAGCTTAGTTTCATGGGTTTTGCTTCTACTAAATCCAACTGCAGGATAATCGAAAGAGATACGTCTACCTGCTAATGGATCTGTCAACCAAAAGTTATATTCAGCCGTTCTCCAATACGACTAACCTGCTAATGGATCTGTCAACCAAAAGTTATATTCAGCCGTTCTCCAATACGTCTACCTGCTAATGGATCTGGCAACCAAAATTATATTCAGCCGTTCTCCAATACGTCTACCTGCTAATGGATCTGTCAACCAAAAGTTATATTCAGCCGTTCTCCAATACGTCTACCTGCTAATGGATCTGTCAACCAAATGTTATATTCAGCCGTTCTCCAATACGTCTACCTGCTAATGGATCTGTCAACCAAAAGTTATATTCAGCCGTTTTCCAATACGTCTACCTGCTAATGGATCTGTCAACCAAAAGTTATATTCAGCCGTTCTCCAATTGCTTCATTAATGTCTGAATTCATTGTTATCTTGCGGTATGATTCACACATTCCAATCAGAACTATGGACATAGCTGTGTTTGCATAGACCTTTCCTGTTCCGGATGTTTATTTACAAAATGGTGGAACACTTTATTGAAGCAATGAAGTTTATTGAAAAACAGCCCATTTGTGGAATATAAACTTGTCTCAGCTCTTTGGACGCCCCATTTAACCTACTTTGAAAAGTTTTCCAAACATGTCAATTTCGACGAAATCTACTTTCAACTATCTTCTCCAATTTGACCTTAGAGTACAATGCACTCAGAAACAACCGGAGAGCGGCAGAATATAACGACTGGACTATTCGGGTTAAAGCTGTACTATAACAAATGTAATTCAGTCTCCTTAGGAGTATCGAACTCCTCACGTTCACTGGTAAATATCCGATACATAATTGATATATGCAGTCTTACTGAGAAAAACAAATCAATATGTAATGATTTTTCAGTGTAATGAAAGATGTTTTATTTTGAATAGGTAAGATGAATCTTTAAATCGACACAATCCATTCGTGCAAGAAAAATTGAGCATATCTCATCAGAAAACGGGATTTTTTATTTATTAATATAAAAGTAACCGTAGAAAGCTAAATAACGGCTGAAAAGGTGCGTGAATTATTAGTGATGTTTAGCAGGAATTGCATCATATAACAACAGGATTAGATGAGCTGTTGACAAAGTGTACTTTGATGAAAACAAAAGCCACCCCGAAAGACATATACTACACGTATAATATAAAATAAATCATGCAAAACATTAAAAACTTTATAAAAGAGAAGGCAGATATCATGTATTTGTATCTTATTTCAAAGCTATTAAGGCTGTCTGCTGCCGTTTCTAATTTTGAACAACTGACTAGAGCGAGGACAGCCAGTCAGCAGCATCCATCCACACACCATCCGCAGCTTGAAGTGGGACGATAGTTATTTTGTAACACACAAATTCCAAATTCAGAGCTCTACGACAGGGCCAACCTGTACCATGAAATTTATATGAGCGCGAAGGCCACATATCGAACACATGTGTTCTAGGTGTTATTTACTTATCACACTGTGAACAATTGTTAAAATATTCAAATTTTATCTGACAGACACAAATATGATAAGAGTGTAGTTGTAGTAAACTGTAGTGGTTGTCGATTGTCTCACAACACGGCGGTTTTTACTGCCCTCTAGTGGACGTATCTGTGGCTATATTTAAAATATTGTCTCAAACTGACGACATTGGCCAAAGCACACTTTGAAAGCTCGTAAAGACAGATAAAGGACAGACTATATAAATCCTTCACCACAGGTGGATACCTGTTTGTGACTTGATATCGACAGAAATATTGACAGCAAAAAAGCGTGCCGTTAAAAAAGCTACAAAGTACTTGTCATGCTATTATTTTTTTCAATTGGTATATATACGTTTATAAATATAACCGTAAGGAGCACACAAGCTTTTGACTTAACATCATGACTAATTGATTTTACTTAAATCCTAAATATTATTTTCCATTCTTCACGTGTTTTTTTTTCACTTAATTTGTTATCTAAATTAAAAAAGCCTTTGTACACAATTGTTGTCTTTTTCTTTTAGAAATTCAGAAATGCAATATCAAAATAATATTTTTTTTTCAAAATTACATTGTTTTTGACAAATTATGAAAATATACGTTCTTTTAATATTTGCTCTGCGCATGAATTATTTCTGTACCCAAGTCGTGAAACAGCAAGTCATTAGAATAAATTCTAAGGTTTGTATATTTTAGCGCAAAGCGATATAATAGGTTATCTGCATTTTGTCCACCGCGAGGAACAAACTCCGGATTGTAGCGTTGTAAATCTTTAACCTACT